GAGAAAGAGAGGGAGAGAGATAAAGATAAAAACAAAAATAAGAAAAAGAAAAAGAAGAGGAACAAGAACAAGAAAAAGTATAAGAGCATGAGTAAGTTGGGAAAAACAATTTCTAGTTTTTCCCCTTTCTTCTCTTCTCTCCTTCCCCCTCCCCAGCACTCTCTTCATCCATCCTACCCCTTCTCATCTTTTCCTTTTAAAACGAAGAGAATAAATTCAAACGTCATTTTAAAGCCAACAATCCGAATAAAGCGTTCTATCGCCCAGCAGCGACCCCTTTCACTCCCCCTCCCTCTCCCTCTCCACTGCCTTCATCTCCACCCCACCCTCGTACAAGCATATCCCTTACTCCCTCTCTATCCCTCCGCAAGGAGATGTGAATCGAACTTTCCATTCAGTCGGGTTCATCAATCACGTCAATTACACGCAACGCACTGTCGATTCGCGATAACCACTATCGCCGTCGTCGTCATCGTCATCGCCGTCGCCGTCGTCGTCGTCGTTGTCGTTGTCGTCGTCCTTGTCGTCGTCGTCGTCGTCGTCGCCGTCATCACCGTCGTCGTCGTCGTTGTCGTCGTCGTCGTTGTCGTCGTCGTCGTCATCACCGTCGTCGTCATCGTCGTCGTCGTCCGTTATCGTCCGTTGTCGTCCGTTGTTGCCCGTTGTCGCCCGTTGTCGCCCGTCGTCGTCCGTCGTCGTCCGTTATAATCATCGTATAAAAGAACCGGAAAAAAATATAACAAAAAGGATCGCGTAACCAACGCATATGAGACGAAATTCGAGAAGAATTAAAATATATCGTACTTTTCGATTTGTTTTGATCGATCGACGATCAATCGAAGCTATGATAGATAATAGATAATTTCTACGTATATAGTACGTATATTGTTATTATTATTTTAATTATTATCACCATCATCATCATTATTATTATTATCATGATCATTATTATTATTATCATGATCATTATTATTATCATCACCACCATAATTATTGTCAGCATCATTATCATCATCACCACCATAATTATTATCAGCATCATTATCATCATTATCATTATTATTATTATCATCAACATCATCATCATCATCATCATCATAACTATTATCATAATCATGATTATTATCATCATCATCATTATCATCGTCATTATTATTATTATCATTATTATCATTATCATTCTCATCATCATCATCGTTATTAGTAATAATATTAATTTTATTATTATTATTAATATTATTAATATTAATATAATTATTATTATTAATATTATTATTCGTGGTCAATAATATTTTCTATATCGCCTTTTATTTATCAAATATTTAGGATTTTCTTCGTTTACGCATTGCGAGGATTACTTTAATTTTCGTAGCCGTACGTACGTGTTTCGGTGTAATAATAAATGTGCGGATGTATTGACGAATGTTATGCGATATGACTCCTGTGATTGATAATACGATCGGAATTGTTTTATCTTTTTCTTAATACCATACTTCCTCTGATTTATTCAACCATTATTATTACTATTACTATTATTATTATTATTATCGTTATTATTATTATTATTATTATTATTATTATTATTATTATTATTGTAATTGTTATTATTATTATTAATAATAGTATAATTATTATTATTATATTAATGTATGTAGAACATCTTCGAAAGGAACAAATCTGAAAATCATTCTTATTATTATTATTGTAATTGTTATTATTATTATTAATAATAGTATAATTATTATTATTATATTAATGTATGTAGAACATCTTCGAAAGGAACAAATTTGAAAATCATTCTACTTAAAAGATATTATATTCCTCATGTAAACGAACAGAATTTACTTATTCTCCTTTATTTTTTTCGGAATATATAATTACATGGCAAACTGTCTAATGAAATCGTATACAAGGTGATCTTAATTGACGATATTTTCTTGACGATAGGTAGGCAACCCCAAAATTTCAGATCAAAACATATGGCCGATTCTAAGGGGTTGATCCGTAATATCCTGTTCGATCCTTCATTCTTCAAGAATAGACCTTTTTGTTATCACGCATCGTACCGAATTGTTCCTAACTAATCTTTCTCTCTCTCTCTCTCTCTCTCTCTCTCTCTCTCTTTCTCTCTACATATGTATGTGTGTGTATGTATGTTTGTGTTAGTTATTAATTAATCACTTTGATTCACGAGACAACCGACATTGATAGAGTTTTATTTTTTGCTTTCTTTTTTTTTCTTTTTCTATTTCTTTCTCTTTTTCTTCTTTTTTCCTTCTTCTTCCTTCACCCCTCTTTTAATAATACTATTTAATTAAACGTTTACAATAAATCACGAGACGAATGTTGTCCGATAATCCAGACGTTAATGATATTAAAAGGACAAAGAAAAATTCGATTATTCTAGGTTAGTTCTTTTTTTATCTGTTCTTTTTTCACGCTAAGTTATAAAGATAACATCGGGCCGGGGTAGCCCGAGAAAGTGAGTAGTCGTATCTGTGTGCTGCGTTACAGTTTTACGAGTCTTTCATAGAGACTAAGGAAAGATCGAAATGGAAAGAAAGTGGAACACGACGTTGAGCCAGTGTTGATAGCGGCGTTCCGACGCCAATAGTGCTGGTAATGGCAAGAAGAAGATAAGGGGGGTGGAGGATGGAGGGAGTGGGAGGCTGTTCGGATGCATCGAAGTATAAAATAGACTGTGTCTCGTAAAAAGAAAAAAGAAAAAAAGAAAAAAAAAAGGAAAAGAAAAAACTCAAATATAAAACTTCAAAAGATTAGGATCTTGTATTCTTTTCATTTGAATATAATAGAAAAAAATTTTTTATTTTTTTTTCCAATTTATTTATATCGTATTCTTAAGCTTACATATACATACGTACGTACTTAAGTATATATGTATATATGTATGTATGTATGTATATATGTATATATGTATGTTTGTATATATGTATGTATGTACATATGAACGTATATACGCATGTATATATATATATGTATATATATGTATGTATGTACATATGAACGTATATACGCATGTATATATATATGTATATATATATATGTATGTACATATGAACGTATATACGCATGTATATATATATGTATATATATGTATGTACATATATATATATGAACGTTCACACGTATGTACATATGTATAAATGTACGTACGTACGTACGTACGCGCGCGCGCGCGCGCGCGTGTGTGTGTGTGTGTGTGTGTGTGTGTGTGTGTATGTATGTATGTATGTATGTATGTATGTATGTATGTATGTATACTGATTAAAGTAAAAGACAAAGAGAGACGATGATATTTTACATTTTCTTATTTTTCTATTGTAATAATAAATTTTAACGAATCAGAGAAAAAAAAAGAAAAAAGAAAAAGAAAAAGCAATCCTTTTAGATTTATACCAATGATAGGAGCGATAAGACTGAGTCTGAATTAACGAACCATTTGTTTACCGGCGGAGATCGATATGGTAGAAAGCCTCTTTTATCCGTTGAGTTTGCGCGTCCTTACAATGGAAACAGAGAAGGGGAGAACACGCGCAGGAGAGAGTCCCTTTCTAGCATATAATTCGACAAAAGAAGCGGGAATAAAGTAAGTTAAGGGTCACCTCGACAAATGAGAACCGACGTACATATTTTCTCTCACTCTCTCTCTCACTCTCTCGATTCGTGAGCGAGATTGCCTTTTAATAACAACCCCCACACAACTCTCTTACGCCTCGGATATCCAAGGTAAACCCCCACTGTTATATAAGAGAAAGAGAGAGAGAGAGAGAAAGAAAGAGAGAGAAAGAGAGAGAGAGAAAGAGAGAGAGAGAGATCCGAATATATATATATATATATATATATATATATATATATATATATGTATAGGATAAGCCATCTAATTTTATCACATTTATTTTTCTTTTTTCTTTTGTAAATACATATTTTATAAACTTCCAATTAAAATAAGAATTTTATAAAAAGTGTATATATTTATGTATGTATATACGTATGTATGTATACTTGAGTCGTACTATTCGCTAATAAATTATGCGTGACAGAAAGTTATATAAATTTTTTGCCACCCTTTTTATAAAACCACGCTGTATTCAACATTATATATATATATATATATATACATATATATATATGTATATATGTATATATATATATGTATATATGTATATATAAATGTATGTATATATACCTATGTAGAACGTGAATCTTGATATCTCGAGCGAGAGGAATTTTATTAATATTCTATATATAGTTATATTAAAATCGATTATACGACGAAGCGCACTGTGTTATATTAGCTTTCCTCTAATAATAAAGTAAAGGTAAAATGAAAAATGAATAATGATTTTAATTGACGATGATGAGTTTGAATAAAACGAGTTGGAAAACGTGAAATAAAGATTAATAATAATAATAATGGTAATAAGAATAATAATAATAATAATAATAATAATAATAATAATAATAATAATAATAATAATAATAATAATAATAATAATACGAAAAAATAGCCCCTCTCCGTCGATTATATATAGAAAGGATTTCAAACGTTGAAAACACAAAATGAATATTAATAATAATAATAACAACAATAACAGCAATAATACGAAAAAAATAGTCTCTTTGTCGATTAAATACAGAAACGATTTCAAATGTTGTAAAAAGGAGAAATGAATATTAATAATAATATTAACAATAACAATAATACGAAAAGGAAAATAAAAAAGAATTAACGTCTCTCCATCGATTATATCGAGAAACGATTTTAAACGTTGAAAATATAAAATAAATATTGATAATAATAATAATTCGAAAAAAAGGAGGTAAAGTAAAAACGAAAAAAAAAATCAATAGCATGTTTCCATCGATTATATCCGGAAACAATTTGAAACATTATTTGCGCTAGGTTCAATAGAAAATAGAGATAAAATCAATAATCGTAATAAGATTGATATATCGAAAAAGGATTCTATTTTGCTCACCTCTCCGTGCGTATCCCTACGACCGTCCGGGGTGTTCTCCGGAAGGAAATAGAGCCGTAACGATGCCAACGGTTGATTTGGTCCACGGCTGTCCATCCAAAGTAACTGAAGCTCACCGATGCTTACGAGGTCGGCGTCGCTCCAAAGTTTCGTCAGGAAGAAATTGCCGAGTCGTAGGACTCGTCCATTTCCTATCCTAACGGCTTTGTAGAACGTATAAGGGCCATGGCTGAAGCAAGCACCGCCCAACAA